TCATCTCTTGGTTAGGCCGGAAACTTATCAATCCACCCTCGTAGTTTCTGAGTAAGAACTCGAATTTTGAAAAACTACTTAATTGCATCGCAGCGTATGTAAATAATCAAATTAATCCGTTGAGACCTTTGATTCCCAGCGACGCCGACGGACGTGGCCAATTTTAAATTTGTCTAGTCTGCAGCGCGTATTTAAGATTTTGCGATGGTAGAGATTGTTCTGTTATTGTAGGCACTTTCTCACATTGTTGCGTTGATATGATACATCAGTTTGAATGCAGTTGAAATGCAATAACGACAATGACACACTTACGTTAGTGTGAGAGTGTGAAAAACTATTTGTTCAACTGCACTAAAAAAATGTTTATCAATTTGTTCATGAAAAACCGTAGGTATATATTCCATAATTAGGTATACCTGATAAGCAACCTTAGTCGTGATAAAACCTGTCATTTAATTCTAAATTAATTAATCCTATTTTAACAATCTTATAATTGCCATCCACCTTAGCGTCTAAAAGTTGTGCATATGAATGCAATAGAAAATAATTGCATTTTAGCGAGTGAATATGAACTGATCAGTAATTAATTGTGATCGTGTACCCGCACGTATATCGTTCATTATTTATTTGTGTCAATTTACATAAACCGTGTTTCATCTATAATTATGGGGATATCAATAATTATTCGTTTCCGTCATTGAATGGTACTATATCACTTTGTAGTGTTTGCGCAGACTCATTATTATACGTATGTGTTTGCTAATTTATAAATTATTCTCTTTATTAGTTACTTACCTCAATATTCGACCGTTTATGTTACGTAGTCGGTAATAAGTAGGCTATTATAATATGAATAAAGAAGTCTGTTGAAACAGCTAGAGCTTTCACGGCCGGTGTCTATTCGTGTAGGATGTATATTCCTCCCTGTATGACGTTGTCTTTCCATCGTTTCGTTGGTAATAAGTATCTTCAGAGATTATTTCTGGATCGAGCACGTGATTGTACCCCTCCCGCAAATAGTCAGTTTTTCAAAAATAATTTCTGAGAGTGTCTTTATACCACAGCTATCGGAAAAATCTTGGAAAGACAACTGTAACTCGGGGATCATTTAGAGAGGAGTATTTCAGGATCACAGTTATTAAACTCAAAGAATGGTTTCACTACAAAGATTATTATCCTTATTGTATGTTGGTACATGTAGAGCGTGGCGAGCAATTAGCATTAATTGAGAATGGTAAATGTGTTAATCAAATTAAGGGAATTATTCGTAAGAAGAGCGTAAAAGAACGATCTATTTATTTTTAAAATATTTTCGCAAAAAAAAGAAACTAAAAGAATAGGAAAAAATTTTTAACCACATCAGAAGAAACCAGTGCTGCTTCGCTACTTTACAAATTCTACTTAACAATTTTTTTTCTCAAAAGTTGTAGTAAACCACATAAATATTTTTTACACTAGCGGTTATGAGGGGGTTAGAAATNAAATATCTAAGAAGAACAATATATAATCATCATCATCACAAGGTCGTCAGTCCTGAGACTAGTTGGACACGCACCTCCACTATTTCCTATCCTGAGTTGATTTTCGCATTTCCGTAAAATTAGAATAACCTATATCCTGAACTATTTGCGAACAGTAAACCAATCTAGGTCTACTTCTACCCCTCCTAACTTCCGTTTCTGCCTCTAATATATCTCTGACTATATCTTCATGCCTGAGAAGGTAACCTATCTTGCCTATTTCTTATTCAGTTCTATAGAGTCCTCTGTTCTCTTACTCTTTCTAATACCTCTTCATTTCTAATCTTTTCTATCCACGGTTTATTATATTATTCGCTTGTAACACCACATTTCGAACGCTTCTAATCTTTTCTTTTCCGCCTCGTCCACTATCCATATTTCGCACCCGTACAGCGCTGTGCTCCATACATACACCTTTAACAAACTTTTTCGAATTTCTAAATTAACCGTTCGTGAGCATAGAAGTGACTTCTTTTTATTNGATTTCATAAGGGAGTTCTCTGTAAAAAAGCACATTCTTAATATAGGGACAAAGTGATCATATACTAATTTAAACATTAATGTGTGATTTTACTGAAATTCGAATTAGCAATTTTTTTGTCAAGCTGTAGAGAGAAAGGAAATTGATTTTCCGTGCTCATATATGATTGAAAAAAGTATCCTTAAATTGATATTTGGTAAGGTCAATAATCCATATTACGATTGAGTACCTTTGCCTTTCATTTATGTTATTTGCAAAGTACTAAACACACAGAGCTAACTTTATTACTTATTTAGTTTGTTAATTGTCTATTTTATGATGAGAGTAGAAATTAGCAGTTGCTGGTATAATCTAGTGTTCAATTAAATTATACTAACCATTCACTTTACAGTTTTTAAACTAGTTTTACGACTGTAATAGAATAATATGATATGAATCTTTCATTTGTTGATATACTTGCTTACTGTCAAAAGTAGTACAAGTTACTACCAATTTATTCACTTATACTGTTAAATGAAATGCAAATAATGCAACCTTACAAGTAAATTTATTCTAATTTTATATCATAAACTGACGTAAAATTTTGTTGCAATTACGTTTCCACAGATAGAGTCCATAAAATTACTAAATGTGATTTGGAGGCCAACCGATCAACAACAATTAAATACGCCCTAATTACATATAATATTGTCTTTCGATTTTCACAGTTCTATAGAACTAAGCTGTATACACTTACGATTTAAAAGGAAAATACATAATATTGTTATATTGTACTCAATCAACTCATTTTTTGATGACATACATAAGCTAATGCTTGAGGATAAATAAAAAAAACGGAGAAAATGAAAAAGGAAAATTTACCTAACTATTAAAGCGATATTTACAATTTCTCCTACTACCCCGTTGTTTCGTAAGCGAAAATAATAAAAATTACGATTTGAACCCGAATGTAAAAATAAAATCCCCGAAGAAAATGATTGAAATTAATATATATGACGCCGTTGAGGGTGTAGTAGGTACAATGTAATTAAAACTTAAAGAAAATGTTCATAGCTCCGACAATAAAGATCATAATTCTTAGTTGCTGCAATGAAAGAGAATAATGTTCTTTATCATAATTGTTTCTAAATGTGGATAGACGGCAGATACGAACGCTGGTTACGTAATTCTGCGTAATTATCATAAAACTTGACGGTTGTCTGCAATTCGTATCNTAAAGATAAGCACTATTATAATACATATTTTCAAATCCTCTACTTTCAAACACATTTTTCTAACTTATCCCACTTTATGTTGGAATTCTCGTACTTTTAGCTATAATGAGTTTGTAGAGCAACTCTGAGAACACAAGGCGTTTCGAATATTTTCTGTTGGTTCATTATTTGCTGATTTTGACAAAGTATATACCTGTTTTTACATTTCTGTGATTAATTCACGGCGAGTAGGTGAACTGACACTGTTATTATTAAGGTCTGAATTATCTAGTTTTTTCCAGGGTAGCTGTAAAATAATAACACAACTATATGTTTTTTGTAATGTTTCGGTTTATTCAATTACCTTCAGACTTTTGAAGTGTTACTGCTTGTACACAGATATTAACTTATTTTGAACATTTCTTCATGTTGAATTACTGCATGAATGTTGAATAAATCTAAACGTTACAAAAAACATATAGTTGTCTAATTATTTGACCGCCACCCTGGAAAAAACTACATAATTTGGACCCTAATAAGAACAGTATCAGTTCACCTACTGGTCGTGAATTAATCACAGAAATGTAAAAACATTTGTAGGTACATTGGCAAAATCAGCAAATAATGAACCTACAGCAGATATTCAACACGCCTTGTGTTCTCAAAGAGTTGCTCTACAAACTCATTATAGTTAAAAGTATGAGAAAGACCATATAACCTTTCAACCTTGGGCGGTTGTACGACCAAGTGGCGGCGAAAGAATAATCAAAAGTACTGTTTTCTTAACGATTTTATATAATTAAAGTTTTCTACTTTTATTTGATGAAATTCCACTTCCATCAAATGAAAATTTCACCACTTTGTAAATTTTGCTTGGCAATTGTTGCATTACACTGCTTTTTTTCAGTATTCACTGTAAGCAACAACCATACAATGCATTTGGGATTTATGTACTAACAATTAAAGAAAGTAATAAATTGTTAAAAAACTTATCGTCATTATTCCTTAACATACAGGATAACTTTGTATCTAGATCTAATCCCTTCCAAAGCAATTGTAACTTAAAAATTAATAACAGTAATGACGGTATTTATGTACACTTACCATTTTATAAATAGACTTCTGATTCTTTTATATTTTAACTAATTTAATAGCAAACGTGAGATAAGAAAACCGTCACGAACTAGTTGAAGAGATACGTGCACTTTATCGTGTATATCAAAGACAGGTAGCCATGCTAGCAGATACTACTCAGCATTTTTGCTATGAGGAAATTGCAATTGTTATAAAATATGACAAACTTTTGTTAAGAAAAAGCATTTTCTTTAATACCCATGTAACCACAAACAGCCCACGCAGTACTTTTGTTTATTGGTGCATTAAAATGCGCAACTATAACGTTTTAATAGGATTGTCTTCTTATTCAGTCAAGCTTGTCATATTACGTAGATGTCATAAAACGCTTTGATCTGTCTGATCTGAAAGTAATTAAACTGTTAACTTCTCTTATATAACAGTAACGTACCGATCGATGATTTTAGAAAAGAACGAGGAAGTTTCGTTTGTTCTTTTTGCTAAAAGATTGATTTCTTATTTTTTACATGATTTAACTTTTGCAGCTACTTCATACTTAAGTATAATATTACAGACGATATTATGGGGTAACAATTAAATAATCAAACAAATACTTAGATCACAGTCTCTGTATTAATTATAAAAGGTTTGTTTAGGATTACAAACTATAAACTTTACAAAAATATTACAAAGTAGCCTTATTATATATGACAGCACACATTGATAACAGAATCATTTTTTATGTAATGTATTCCCTGGATATCCATATCCACTGCCATATCCTTGTCTAAATCCGTGAGATGCATATACCCCTCCTAGAGGTGGTGGGGGATGTCCTGGCATCAGGGGTGGAAATTGTGGTAGGGGGAATTGTGGAAATGGTGGTGGTGGCGGCGGAGGAGGAAATAGAGGTAGTGGTGGTGGCGGTGGTGGAGGTAGTGGAGGGAATGGAGGAAATAGTGGTGGAGGTGGCGGAGGTGGAGGTGGTAACGGTGCCGGTACTGGGGGTGGCGCCTGAATGTAAATTGGTACGGGCCTCCTAACTATAACTGGACTTGGAACAGGAACCGGAACTGGCCGAGCAACAGGAACCGGATACGGTTGTGGTTGCGGAACATCCACTCTCACAGGAACCGCATATCTCACAGGAACACTCACAGGTACAGGAACTGGCCTTTCAACTGGGTACGGAACTGGATTATCGACAGGTACAGCATATGGACTTGGCACCTGGACATTATACGGTCGATCAACACCGTAGGGTACAGGCACATCGACGGGATAGGGGTCGTTTCTGTCATACTGCACTGGATACGGTTGTGGTATTGAAATTGTTACCGGCGGCGGTATTGTAGCAGGCGGCGGTAGCGGTGGTGGCGGTGGCGGGAGTGTTGGATGATGATAATCGTGGTCATCATCATCGTCTTCTTGATAATAATTCTCGTGGCTTGTATTATCACCGTAACTATCGCTATATTTTCCTTTATCGTCTCCAACGGAATAACCACTTTTTTTTTCAAACGAATCTTTGAAACCAAAACCTACATCGAAAGTCCCCCGTTTTTGGGGCTGTTTTTCCTCTTTTGTGGCCTCTTCCTTGGGGAAGACTGCTCCAATTAGAAATATTGTGACGACCACCTGTTGAAATTGATTCATAATAGTATATTATGTAATTGAAGTTGCGCTAAGACCTACTTACCAAAAATTTCATGGCGTGCTGTCGAGAAAGCCCAAGAACAGTGGTGGTATTCGAAAATCGACTCTTGCTTTTATATGTGCATGTAACAAGAGATTGCCCCTCGAAAGAAGGTAGTACTTTCGCTGCGTCCCCTGATGTTTACAACGATCGCCGTAAATTAGCGTATTTTCTTAGTCTTGGATGGGACAAAAAGATTCCGATTTGTCGCGGTTTTTGTTGTTTCGTCTCGCATGACCAAGTCACACAAATTAAGGTAATTATAACTAGGTTTAGTCTGTTTTACTGGTTTGTCGTTCTTTAAAAGAAGCCAAGCACTCCGAGACAATAAGGGGGGCGACATTTTTGGAAACTGCCGTTCGTTTATTTCATTTCCTGGCTAAAGCAGCCAAATTCCACTAACAGAAAGCGCTTGTGTCAAGTTCACTTCGTTACTTAGTTGATTAAACCGTATAATATGAAGCTTTTAATTTTCATAGTTTCATTTAGCAAGACGTTCACGTTTTCTGAGAAGACGAGCACATAATCATTTACATTTCATCATCATAAGGTCGTCAGTCTTTAGACTGATCGAACAAGCTCCTCCACTCTTTCCTATCATGAGCTAATCTTCTCATTTCCCTAAAACTAAAACATTCCACAACATTAACTACTTGCGAACAGTAATCCAATTTAGGTCTACCTCTACTCTCCTTAACTCCTCTTTCTGCCTCTAATATGCCTCTGACTAGACCTTCATGCCTGAGAAGGTGTCCTATCAACCTATCTCGCCAATTTCTTATTGACTTCCATAGAGTCCTTTGTTCTCCTATTCTTTCTAATACCTCTTCATTTCTAATCTTCTCTGGCGCCCTATTATTCTTTAAGTTTTTTAATGCTACATCGAACTCTTCTCTCATTATGGGATAAACTAGCTCATCCATCTCCACACTATCTTCCTTCTCTAATATATCTCCTATCTCATGGCTTGCATATAGGTTCTCTAAATATTCTTTTCATCTATCTGTCTTTTCCTTATTTTTTATCAAAAGAATTTTTGAAATTGGATCTACAGACAATCACGCATTTTACTGAGTAGACATGGTATATTTTGAACGTTTCTGTATGGTGATGTAAAGTATACTGATTTTAAAAGAGAAATAAACACAATGAAGGTGTTTTCAACTATTCCTTTGGAGTCTGACCGTACTTTAATTGATTGTATCTAGTAAAAACCCTTAAATTTTAATGAGCGTGGTTAGGTTCATGCAAAATAGATACTCCTACAAATCCGAGATGGTTAAAACGCAAAAGTAAACTTACTGTTCATATACCACGAACAATATCTAGGTGGTACACAAAAAATACATCCACAATAAAATTTAGTATCAAAAAGTACCTGTACGCGCTGTTGTATGTAAATTGGAAAAATTTGTGTGTTATTTTGAATTTCGAAGGTCTATATTTATTTACAACATAAATTTAAAAAAGAGAATTACTTCCTAGTGGTTTTTTCTGTCCAATGTGGATTTGTAATAACTAACTAATTCACGGATGCACTTCAGAAGCTCCTAAAATATTTATGACGTAATCACCTTAGAGAAGCCACAAGTCTTTCTGGTATAAATTGAATGTTTACCAAAACGTCACGCTTGGGTCAAATTAGTGCAAAGCGACACTTTTTTTGCAAATAAACTAAAGTATCATTTATCTTTTAAATTATATTGTAGTTCGCTTTGTATTATTTATTGGTAATTTATGATGATAAAGATTTAGTAACAAAATGGTGTGAAAGTTTATTGAAATACAGTTGTAAAAATCCATTAAATCAAAGCTGTTTCAATTTTATATTATATCATCTATGACACAAAAAAGTGGTGATCATACTTCATAAAGGGCAAGAACGCCAATGGAGTGGTTTATCCAACATTTCGCAAATTGTTGTGGCGGGAATCCACAGGGACAAAATGTGTGGCTGGATCCACACAAATACACCAAATAAGAATTTTAATATAAAGTGATTTTGATATACAAGGCACAGATTTTGTTGATTATGTGACAACTGTGGTTCCAAATAACTCTTTTTAGCGGGAAAGCTTACTGTTCAAATTACGAATATAATTGTTTTTAAAAATCAACATTATTAGGTATAGATATTCCTTGTGTCTAGTAACCTTATGCTTTTCAAAGCTTTGCATTTTTTCGTATTAATAATCAAAATTTTAATTGTAAATTTACATCCCTATGAAACTTAGGTTCTCCTTCTTTTGTAATGCTGGAATTACAAACGTAGAATTATAATAAACATTGATGGTGAATAACTTTATGTCTGCCATTAAACTAAAGTAAATATTGTGCTGAATGTAGTTCATTTTATCTATATAAGCGTCTGTAAATTTAATGTATGTATACATAACCTTTACTGTCTGACTCTGAATTTCGCAAAGGGGATGTTTTTGGAAGTAAGAAACTTAAATAATTTGCATATATTCAAAATAGGTTTCTTTAAGAAGTGATAATGTGTTAACTAAAGCGAGAATTAAATTTTAAACTTATTGTTAGCTTTAATACTGAATCAGTTTGGAATTTAGTTCGTAATTATTTTTTTCCCAATGACCCAAAAATAATTTTTCGGATCCGCTGTAGCGTTCTGAAAAAATGGCGAGACTTAAAACGCTTTTATGACCATAAGGAGAGAGAGAGCGTGACATTACTTTGTTGGGTTATCCTTCCATCTACGTACGAGTAGATGCAGCCATCGTTATTGCTGCGGCTTTGACAAATTTACAATTTTTTTGTGTAAATTACCAATAAACATATAAAAATCATTCTTCATTACAATACAACCCCAAGCATATCTTTTAATAATGAAGTGGGTCACTTTTTATTTAGGAACTGAATAGTCGCCATAATTTTTATAAAGGTAGTTTTTATTTCGAAAATTAATGCATCGAATATTTTCATACTTTTCATGTCTTTAGTTATAATTCAAATATACTGAATGAAACTGAATGATAAATTCTGGACCCTCGGTTATTGACAACAGACGGATCTGATCGTTTTCCCGAGTTCCAGTCATGGAAATAGATGTACCATTATTGCAATGCTTGTGAATAGAAAATTTGTAAAACAATTACAAGAAACTGTTGCTTAACTTTGTAGAAATGAATGAAATCAGTCTGAGCTGAATAGTTTTCAGTGCAGTCAGTGGCGTCACTGGCATAAGGTGAACTTGGGTCGTCTTATTCCTATACCAAAAAGTAGTGATGAACAATATTGATATTGGGATTCCCGTTTTGATCTTGGTCTTATAAAAATGCAAGACTAAGACCGAACAAATAACACCGAGACTAAAACCAAGAGCGAATATGTAAGACTAAGACTAAACGAAAAATTATTACTTCCGATGAATTTATAAGTTAAACCATTTGGATCAACATTAATAGGTATATTCTTTTCTTGAAACGAAACATTTTCAGTTTACTTACCAAATTTTAATGCTAAATATATAAAAAGGAAACTTCACCATTGTTTAAAAAAGAGATCTACATGAATGTTCTCGAACTAAGTGTTCTTTGTTCCTAGGTCTGGTTCATACATGACTGAAATGTACAAACTACGTTTCTTTCGATATTTATACTTTTTTCAAGTACCTTCCACATTGTTTTTCGCTAAAAGGGTAATTTATGCGTTCAAAGCAGAGTAAGTTCTCGAGTTTTCATAATTATCACAACTATGGACACTATTTTCTGTAAAAGTCATGACAAGTTCGCATGTACAACTGAAAATTTCAGCATTTTAGGCAATTATTGTGTTGGAAATAGAAATAGAAACAGAAGTGCTTAGAAGTATTATTAGAAAACGTAGGCAGGTATCAAATTAAGAGAACAAGATCAAGACTTAACATGTAAGACTAACACCAAGATCGAGACTATATAAGCAATACCAACACTGGGTCACTTTTGGTCATCAGTACCAAAAAATGCTATAGTGGTAAAAATAAAAAATGCATTCCATCAATGGAAAAGACAGCAGTTGTCACCCTAGAGTGTCAACCCCTTATTCACGCCGCTGAGTGTAACTATCTGCCTTTCAGATTGTATGGAAAAAGAAATTAATTTGCGACCAAGTACAGTTGTTTTATGGGCATATTTCCGTTGGGCAATGTTCAATTTCTAAATTGCAAATGTTTCAACGAGAAAAATGGAACAAACGCTAGAAAAAAAAGACAGATGTTACGCCTGAATATGATTACCTACGGCTAAAACTTTTCGTTAAATACGTTAATATTTTATCAACAGTGCTTTCTTGTCAAAAAAGTCCTTCTGCTTTAATTTCACTGTTGACTTAATCGTTACTTAATTTTTGTTACGGTAATTTATTTAGTTTTAAATCGATATTGATCTCTAGCTGTAGTAAGTATATATTTATAAATAAAACGAAAACATAATGCACTTGGTTGACATGCATGGACGACCATTATAACAACTAACAAAACCTGTTTTTCTACAAAGGGGAAATTGTTCAAAATTGAATTTTGCAACTGTTTTAAAGTCATTTGGGGGTTGATTTATAAGCTTATTTAAAATATTTACTGCATTTCTATCTCTAATTTAATGTTTTTTCAATCAAAATATAAATCGAATCGTCCATGATATTTCCTTTAATTAAGTTATTGCATATTCACTAATTAGAATACATTGCCTAAGATTATGTAATTTTTTGACATTTTAATAACTGGTAACAGAAGTCAAAATCTAAAATAAAAAAAAAATGGGAAGCAACTTATAAGAAAGGTCGAATTGAATTACGTTGACATTTATGATTTGCTACTTAATTAGATGGTTTTGTTAACTAATCATAGAAAAAGTCAATTTTTGGTAATGATGTATTATTCGTATATGAACGGTGTTTGTATAGATACGTGATTCTTTACAAACTTTTCAGGTAGATGTAGTCATTAACACTGTATTTCATTAGGTCAATTAAATACATAAATTATTTGAATTAATCTTAAGTAGTCTGTTATACAAAATAATACCAGAATTAAAGTTTTCATAGTCATCAATCCGTTAGATATTAGTTCAATTT